CCAAGCATCTAGGTACAACAGGGGTCTGAGTTTCCCTCTTCCATGCCTGGCTTCTCAGAGAAAACCTCCAAATCAGTGTTTTTCAGCAGGGGTAGTATCACCACCCACAGGATGCTTTGGGAATTTGTAGGGGAGTTTTTGGCTTTCATACAGTTGTTGGTGGGGTGGGGCGGGTAGTAGTGGTCACGGGCCAGCGACACTTAGTGACCTGCTAAAAGTCCCACATAAAGAATTATCCCCCATCCTGCACAATTTTTGCAAGTTTTGCCAAACATTCATTAGGGGAGAAAAAAAAATCATTTGTAATTATCTGAGCCTAGAACCTGAATCCATTTTACGTAAACACGTAATATTTGTTTGTAAAGGTTTAATATGCCCTAAATCTTACAGGAATGTAATTGCCATGTATATTGAGAGAAGAATGTGCCTCGTTTTGTTCTGAACTTTACCAAGAGTTGTTCACTATTTTTGAGTGCCACCTTATTAACAAAAATGCCTGTGTATTCCAGGTGTTAGAGAGACCCACAGCTGTACTCTTTGGTATTTTAGCTGTCACTTTCAGGGTGACTCAGCAGTTAAGTACAAGCTTTGACTATTACATTATGTCTACAAGTGTTAACATACCCAAGTGTTGACAAACCAAATTACATATTATTGTATTATAAGCTATTATTTCTTTTTCCTTACAGTTAGGGCATTGAATTAATTTTTAAAAATCATATGTGTAGGAGTGTTATATTATTCATACATTTCATTTCAGTACAGAAGGGACACTAAAGTATTTGTGATAAAACAGGACCCTGGGTCTGAAAGGATAAAGAGCCCCTGCTTTAGAAAATCTGCATGATTTTCTAAAAGAGTGGAGCACCTTTCGAGGAATGGGAGGTAGAGTGACACATTGCAAACAGCAACAGGCCTGAGCCCAAGACCCTCTTTGGCTTCCCACTTGTTATTTTTCCTTGGGCATGTCACTTAACCCTGGTATTATTAGCCTCATCTGGGAAATGGAGATAAATATGACTTACTTTATAGAGCTGTAATGGCGAGACCTGAGACAACAGGCCTGAAGTGCTTTACATCTGCAAAATCAACTTCAATGCATGTTATTATGGTTCTTGAAAGAGGGAAGAAGCATGTGGCCCTGAATTTCCACAATCCTTCAAGCTTCACTCAAGAACCTCAAGTGCTGTGAGTGAAAGATTTTGACTAATTCAGGACCCAAAGAGAGTTCCGTTCCTGCTTTGCCACCGACTTCATAAATAACATTAGACCAATGACATCTCCTTACTGAGATTCAGTTTCCCGATTCAAAAAATACAGCAATTAGAGCAGATGATCTTTGAAGAGCCTTCTAAGTTTGATAGGTTAGGATTCCAAGATCTTTCTCTACCCTCTTACCTCTGAATTCAACTTCCAAGTTTTGAAGCCATCCCTTCTAAAAAAATAATTTGCATCAAATGCTAAAGCCCAACAACTAGTTACTGCCCTTAGCAGCTTCCAGCCTGGCAGCTTAATCCTCTTTCGAAGGGGCCCTTTAAAGCCTCCAGGACATGATGAGAAGCTCCAGATCCATGTTAGGAGCGTTCCACACACATTCGGGCAGTGGCACGAAGGTGCAGCCAGAGTAAGTGGTGGGTGGGGCATAGAGAGTGGGCTCAGCGGTTACTCAGAAGGGGAGGCAGGAAAGACAGCCATGGGAGTGTGGGGCGTGGACAGGCTGGGTAAGATGGAGCCATCCAGCAGGACTTTCAAGAGGGGGTGGGGGCTGTGGACCATTGGTGGCTATATGAATGACAGAGAAGGATAGCACGGAGAGACGTGCTAGAGGAGGCGCTGGGCAAAGCATGTTAGCGAGAATGTGGTCTTAGAGCACATGGAACTGAGAGAAGTAGAGGGTCTGGAGCAGGACTTGGAAGTCCAGACTGTGGATTTTGAATTTGATCAATGACTGTCCCTAAACGTCTTTTATTCAAGAGGATGGAAAAAAATGTGTCTCTTTGGGACACTGAGGCTCCTAAGGAATGCAGGGGGTGGTAGCTGGGCCAGGGAATTCAGGAGGCAGGGAGGGCTGAGCCAACTCTCCCAGCGGGCCCAGGCCCGTCTGCCAGAGCAGGAAAGAGAAATAAACACAGGCCGGACTGATCCAGAGCGGGCACAAAGCCCCAGCTGAAGGTCTCCTGAATCTCCACACTCGGCCATGCACGCTCATGGGCTGCCTACTGGTGAGTATAAAGCTGCCAGCTCAGCCCCGTGCTGGAAGCTCCTCCTGGCTGGTCATCCACTGCCCCTTTAAGCGCTCCTGGTCCCATACTTCACAGGGACTCAGGCCAGCAAGAAGAGGTGTTTGCCTGCAGTGGTTAATGCTCCATGAGGCCGCTCCCTCCTCCTCTGAGAAAGCTGCCCAGCCTGCTGCTCTGGCTCCAATATAACACTTCCCTTTCAGCTTTTGAATTTCAAAGCAAACCTGAGGCTGACTGCAAACAGATGGATGGGGTCATAAAAATCCCCACGCAGGGAGCAAAGAGGCTCACGATTGTAAAAGAGAGACTATTTTGGAAGAATGAGTCTCTGCACCCATGCTGGGCTCCTGCTTCTTTGGGCCCCTGCTCCTTTGCTGCAAACACACCAAACATGTCTTTCTCACCTTCGCCTCTCCACATTCTACCTGGCCTTCAATGCTCAGCCCCAGCCCCAGATTTTCCAGGAAGCCTTTTGTAACCTCCTCCCTATCCCTCCCCACCCATCCAGCCACTTGATTTTTTCCACATTTAAGTTCCTATGGCACTAACTTCCGGTGACCTTTCACAGGTATTTACTACATACATCTTGGCATTGGCAGTAATTTTTTTTACCTGTCTTACACTCAAAATAGATTCCAGGCTTAAGATGGGAAAACACCTTTCCCTTCTTGGCTAATCCAGCATTGGACACCAGTACTGAACCAACAGTAACTGGATGCTTTTCATGAGAATGAAACTTTATATAGCTTGAATAACCATACACAGGAAGTGGATGGAGTCCGTATTACCTCTATAAATCTGCTTTGGGAATTTGTTATTATGTAACACAGGAAGTATCATTTTACTGGGCAGTGAGGGATCCATTTTCAGGGTGCGCTCCAAGCAGGAAGTGATTTCATTAGAAGGATCCGCTATTATGTCCATAGAGTGCAGAAGAGTTGCTCTTGGCAGAGGGCACAAAAAGACAGGATAAATAATCAAGGAGATAAAATGGGTGGTAGAACAGGCAGGTTTTGAGATCAGACAGGTCTGGGGGCAAACCCCAGTTCTGCAATTTACAAGCTGTTTGCCCATGTGCAAGTGACTCAACCTCCTCCTGAATCTCAGATTTGTTATCTGTAAATGGGAATGATGATAATATGTATCCTGCAGCGTTGTTGTGAGATGTAAATAAGATAGCGATGCTCGAGATACACTAAGTGTTATCATCAAAGGCAGCCACGCAGGCCAGGCAAATGGCAGCAGGAAATGGTACCTGGATTAGCAAGAAGCACTGACATCCAGTCTAGGTTGGAAGAAATGAGGACTCCTCAGAAACACACAAATAAGGGCTTCCATTTATTGAGGGCTTGCTATGTACCACCTGGCACCTAAAGAACAAATCAATCTAAACAACATACTTGAGAGTGAAGGCCATTGCCTGCTTTACAGATCAGGAAACTGAGATCCAGAAGGGTTAAAAGATTTTCCCATGGTCGGCCGGGCGCGGTGGCTCAAGCCTGTAATCCCAGTACTTTGGGAGGCCGAGGCGGGTGGATCACGAAGTCAGGAGATCGAGACCATCCTGGCTAACATGGTGAAACCCCGTCTCTACTAAAAATACAAAAAACTAGCCAGGCGTGGTGGCGGGCGCCTGTAGTCCCAGCTACTCGGAAGCTGAGGCAAGAGAATGGCGTAAACCCGGGAGGCGGAGCTTGCAGTGAGCCGAGATCGGGCCACTGCACTCCAGCCTGGGTGACACAGCGAGACTCCGTCTCAAAAAAAAAAAAAAAAAAAAAAAAGATTTGCCCATGGTCACCCAGCCAATGTCAGACTCCAGAACTGCAGACTTCACCATTCTTCCATGCTGAAGATAAAAGTTGAGCATTTGAGTTGAAGGAGTTAATATCTTGTATAACAGAATATTACTTGGAACTTTCTCTGTTATCTGCAAGTCACATCTGAGGCTCCAAAGCTGAAGATAGTATGTTCCCATTCAGAAGAAGGCAGTCAGTCTACTCATGCAGGACTTGCTGAGGGGCAGCAAAACTGATTTGGAACCTCATATGCCCCCACCCTCCCACCTTCTGCCAACAAGCCAACCGATGGGCCAGATTGAGGCCAGCCATCCTCAGGATATGAGGAGTGGACTGTCAGAGCAGAAACTGCAAGGGGATTGGAAGACACCAGCCAGGGAGAGCTTTGCCCACACCAAGGAAGAACACAGTGGCTCTGAAAAACCCCACATATAAGCCCCTAATCAGGGAAAGAGTTAGCATTTGGATGTCTCCACACAGAGGGCACTGATGTCCTCCTTTCCTTTTATCTCATCTCCCCACCCATCCCTGCAGGAGTCAGAAGCAGCCTCCAGAGGGGACAAGAGGCTTGGGCTTGCCCTGAGCTAAGGGGAAACAAACACTTTGAATTTGGTGAAAAATTTAGATTGATTTTGATCAGATGAGAGTTTTTTATACATGAAAAGGAGATAGTGTCCCTGAGAGTGACAAGGAGAGCTATCGGATCTACATGAGAGGCCGCCAGGGATGGGGAAGGGGTCTGCCATATAACCAGGCGAAGGGGCAGGGGGAGTTGGAAAAAAAATTAAAGTTATTTTCTCTTGGTGCCCCAATGAGTCCAACTGGATCAATAGAGGGATACATTTGGAAACCAGGCCACTAGAGTAGGCCACACAAGTAGCACCAGGCAGGGCAAGGAAAAAAGGAATTCAAACCAGACCATCACTGGGATTCTGCCCTCAGGTACCATGGCAATCATTCTTTCCAGTTTATCTGTAAGGAGGCATTGGAGACCCATCTCAGAAGCCACTGCTGGGGCACTTCAGGGCAATTCAATATGATTTTGTGAAGTACATAGTAAGCTGTGTATAATTTTCATTCTAGAGTATGGCTCAAACACTCCCCAAATGAAAGTTCTGAGTCATTTTTTTTTTAAACCTGCAAATTTTGTTATGTGGATATGTCTTAACTGGATAGATCATCAGAGTCCAGATTCTGGAGCCCAGAGAGAACCAAGTCAGCATCCAGCACCCACCACCTTGAGGTGGTACATTTTATCAAAGGATTCTCCATGAGAGATTCTCGAAAGTGACATATCTCTGACTTAAAGTAGGACCTTGATTCACAAACTTGGCACTCAAGTTCACATTTCACATGAAAAGGCCGGTATGAAACATCATTGATACCCATTAACATCCATTATCTTAGGGCCTCATTTTTATCATGTTCCCATGCAGGGTACTGTACATAAATTGTCTCATTCTCTCCTCCAGTGACCCCAAGAGATCAGTGCTACTGAACCTGTATTATAGACATGGACACTGAGCTTCTGAAGGTGAGTTACCTTTTCCAGACCTCACACCTAAGAAGTAACTGCAAGGATGGGAATAAGACTCATAAGACTCTAAACCTGTGCTTTCTCAACTACCCTAAACCAGGGGCTGACCTAAATTGGAACCTAAATTGTTGCTGTGTCCAGATCTTAACCATCTCAGTTCCCAGCCCAACTCCATCTTTCAGAGAATCTTCCTCCTCCTCCAACCCCCATCACACTACAATACCTGCCCTCTCTTACAGCACATGACAGTCTGACTAATGTAATGATATTTATAGGTAGCTAGATCTTTTTTTTTTAATGGCTCCCTTGGTCTAAGTCCTCTTCTCTGTCCACACTCACTCCCGCAGTGACCTTAGCCCATTTCATGGCTCTAAATAACTCTGCTGAATCCCAAACCTACACTCCAGACCACCCCTCCCCTGACACTCAGCTGCCACTGAGACCTTTGTACTTGGAGGTCAGAAAGCATCTCCCAGGCAGCATATTCAACACCAAACTTGTGATGTCTTCCCCGAGATCTCCAGCATCCACCTCAGGAAATAGTGCCACTATCTACTTGGTCTCTTAGACAAGACATGGTGGAGTCAACCCTGATCACTCTCCCCACTCATTCCCTATATCCTTTCCATCCTCTTGCTTCTACTATCAGAACATATCCAGAAATGGGCCACATTCATCTCCCACTGCTTCTACCCTGAGCAAGCCACACTCATCTCTCAAGCCTCCCAGCAGGTCTCCTTGTTGCTGTTGTGGCCACCAACTCCAGTCTACACTCCACAAGGTCACAAATCCTTTAAAATGTAAATCAGATCACGGCATTCCCCTGCTCTGAGCTCCCAGTGCTTTCCCATCAGAGTTAGAATGAAATCACCATTGCTTTCCATGAGCTGCCAGGATCCAGTTACCTCTGACATTATTCCCTACCCCCTTCCCCTTGTCACTTCCCAAACATCCCTAGCATCTTCCGGTGTTAGGGCTCTGCACTTGTTCCTTCTGCCCAGAACTTTCTTCCCTAGACATTTTTTGACTTCCTCTCACATCTCTGCTTAAGTGTCACCTTTTCAAAGAGGCCTCCCCTGGTCATTTCATATAAAATATTGCCCACAAGACTCTCTCTATCTTTTTTCCTGTATTAGTTTTCTTCATATCACCAGTCACCACCTGGCATCGTACTGCAGATTTCTCTGTGCCTGAGGTCAGCACTCACCACCACCACAGGAGCTCCCTGTGGCTCACTCCTTTTGTGCATCTCCACTGCTCTGCCTCCACTGTCTGGCCCAGAGCCAGCTCTCAAAAAAATATTTGTGCTATGAATGTTGAAAAGTTTTGTTTGTGATGAAATTAGGGTTACATATTTTTATGAGATGTGTATAATTATAGATAAATTTAGGCTGGGCATGGTGGCTCGCACCTGTAATCCCAGCAATTTGGGAGGCCGTGGCAGGAGGATAGCTCAGGTCCAGGAGTTCAAGACCAGCCCGGGCAACATGGGAAGACCCTGTCTCTACAAAAAATAAAAAATTAGCCAGGCATTGGTGATGGGCACCTGTAGTCCCAGATACTCGGGAGGGTGAGCTGGGAGAATTGCTTGAGACTAGGAGGTTGAGGCTGCAGCGAGCTATGATCACACCACTATACTCCAGCCTGGGCAACAGAGTGAGATCCTATCATAGATAGATAGATAGATAGATAGATAGATAGATAGATAGATTGATTGATTGATTGATTAAATAAATAGGTATAGGAAAATTTGAGGCTGGTTTCAAACCTCAATTCAGGGACCCGACCCATTGGCCAGATCTCAGATGTATACAATGTGTCAGTCCCTGCCTGGACCATGAGGACCCACAGAGAAATAGCACATGCTTTTCAGGATATGACTGAAGGCTGAAGTAAAGAATTTTCTTTCTGGTCCATATGAGTGGACCACCAGTTAACAGCAAGCTTTCTCAACCATGGACGTTACACCCTTGCCCTACTAAGGGTGTTACTCTGGGTTGTAGTGACACAAACCTCTACCAAAACAATAATATTCATGAAAAGTAGCATTGACTCAGCCCATCATACTCTCAGCCCTGGGCAAATCCTAGGGATGCTGTGAGTGTGAGTCAAACACAGGCCTGGCTCTCAAGGGCTATGCAGTCTAGGGGGCCATAAATCAATGTGGTGTTGCTGGATTTACAGATGGAGAACTGAGGCCTGGAGAGGGAAATTGACTTGCAAGCTATTGATGGAGCCAGAGAGCAAGGAAGCTCGTCCCATACAGAAGAGATGGGAGGTAGGTGTAGGGGAGGTGGGACTGTGCCGGGGCTGTGTGCTGCATTGAGATCGCCTCTGTGAATCTCCCCAATGACCCTACACAGTGTGGTATTATCCCCTTTACAGATGAGGAAACTAAGTCCCTGACTTAGGGCCACACATGGCCTGAGTGCAGGTGCTCACACAGCCATGGATTTGTCCAGCAGATTCAACCCTCACCAAACACTCGCATTTGGATGAAAATTGCTTCAAGCACTTTGCAAACTAACATGCAAAGACATCATATTATACATTGGGGGAAAAAAGTAATAAAATGTTCAAATCATTAACATCCATGTTTCTATACAACTCTAGGATAAAGTATCAAGTTAATCTCATTCATTAAAATAGTTGCCAAAGACGTTTGTCTTTGGACCCATCAAATATACTGTTTGATGACATCATTCAGTAAAGACAGCTTCTCAGCTCACCCATCTCTTGTTATCCCAAAATAAATTCTGATGTTTGTAAACTGCACAAATTATTAAGTGTTTTTTTATTTGTCAGTTTCATCTTCCAAGGATAATCTTAATGCCCTTAAAATAATGCCCTTAAAAGAAGCATTGAACAAATTTGCATTTGCCTCTTAGATTTAGATATGAATTTTAGAAATAAGAATTTGTTTAAAAAAAAAATCCCCACCTCCACTGAACTGTGAACTTCTGAGAATAGAGACAGCATCTGATTCATCTCTGTAAGCCAAGTCTACACTTAGCATGGGACCCAGTCCCATATCAGCAACTGCTGCAATAATACTGCATAACAAACCACCCAGCTTAATGGCTTACAATAGTAAACATTTGTTCTCCTGCTCAGATGCTGACTGCAGGCCAGCTTCAGTGTGGCAGTTCTAATCCGGGTTCAGCTGGGTGATGATGTCCACACTGAAGAGCAGCTGGCTGGGCTCCAGGATGCAGCTGAGCTTAAGTCTAGCCCATGTGTGTTCATTCTGGGGCAGGCTGAAGGGGCAGTGGCTTTCAAGAGCATGCTCTTCTTATGGAAATCACCAAAACACGAGCTCCTTTACGTTCTCTGCTGTGTTTCATCCACTAACTTACCACTGGCCAAATCACATCATATGGCTAAGCCAACATCAATGCAAGGAGAAAGTACTTTTCTCAATGCAAAAGTACATGGCAAAGATTGTGGGTGTGTGATCCTATTACAATGGAATGAAGAATTGGGACCCAAAATTTAATCTACCCCAGTAACCAATAAATATCGACTAAACAAAGGAATGCATGAAATCCTGCTCTACCTGTTTCCAGTGACATAGTTGGGGCTTCCTGTTTAATGTCTCTGAGACTCAGTATCCACATCTATAAAATGGAGCCTGATGGATACGGGACTTAAAACCTAGATGACGGGTTGATGGGTGCAACAAACCACCACGGCACATGTATACCTATGCAATAAACCTGCACATGTAGTCCAGAACTTAAAGTAAAATTTTAAAAACTTTTAAAAAGTAACAACAACAACAACAAAATGGAGTGAATAATGCTTTCCACCATTTAAGTGACCTTCCTGAAGTCTTATGGCGAGCCACTGGTGGAGACAAGATTTGAATGCAGACCTCTTTGTCCCTTCAATCATGAAAAGAGCCCTGGACTTGAGATCAGACAGACCCGAAGGCAAATCCTATCCTTGTCATGGGTTTGCCATGTGACCTTGGCCAAGTCCTTTACCCTCTCTGTACATCAGGGTTTCTCTCTATACAACAAGGAGGGGGTACCAGTCCAATGCTAAGCTCTCATTCTTCATGCCTTCTAAACTCATTCATCAATTCAACAAATATTAATGTTAGAACAGAATACATCTCAGGGTGCCATGTTAGATCCTGGGAGTAGGGCAGGGATCTTCAGTACAGGCCCTTAACTCTTGGAAAAATCTCCCATTCCCTCACCCCCTTCCCCAAGCTTGTCTCCAAGGGCCTCAGCTCTGCTGGGACATCAACAGTGGAGCTGTTGGTATCACTCTATGTTATAGTCACCAGCCTCCGCTGGGCTTTCAAGGCTGCCCAGCATTGCTGCTTTATTTCTGCAATCACTTCCCTCTTGAGCTCCTTGTAATGACCATTGCATACCTGTCCCATCCCCAGAATTCTGACATCCATCTCCTCCCTCAGTCTCAGTATGTAACCTTGCCTCCTACTTCCTAGTAAAAGTTGAAGACCTCAGATGAGAGCTTCCTCAACTTCCTGCTACCCTCCCTCCATACCCACCTTCCTGTCCTCTCCTCATTCCCCCTTGCTCCACTTGAGGCCCTGCCTCTGCTCCCCTTCAAAGACATTTCTGCCACCTGGGCTTTGGAACCCCTCCCCCTCCCACCTTTGCAGGGGTTCACAAGATCAATTTTCTCTTCTCAACAGCTCCCTCTCAACCAGATTATGAGCATCAATATTTAAACATGCTTAAGTCTTTTACACCTTAAAAGTAAAATTCTCTCTGTGACCTAACATCCCCTTCCAGCTGCCAGCTAATTTCCCTTCTCTCATTCTATGGCAGTCAGATTTCTTAGCTACAAGTAACAGGAGCCAACTTTTGCTGATTTAAGCAAAAATGGAACTGATTAAAAGGATATTGAAACATATGTCCACAAAAAGACCTGTACACAAATGTTCATTGCAGCCTTATTCATCGTAGCCAAAAACTGGACATGGCTTTAATATTCACCAACAGGTGAGTGGATAAGCACAG